CGACTAGTTTAACTACCAACCAACAACAATACCAACTTTCTTATTAGTGTTTTATATTTCAACAGATTCAAATTTATCTGCTGATAAAATTTTGGCAAAAATAAATACAGAAAAGAAGGAAGTAGATGTAACCCCTGTTGGGAATAGACTTCCAAATGTGTCGCCAGCGTTTGCCGATGAAATAGGTAAAAATTATGACTCATAAAATGTAAAAGCAGACCATACAGGCTATATAACATCTTCTTACAAATATTTACTGACTTCTGTACTCGAAGTCTGTGTATTTAGTATGACTTGTCAATGCAATTAATAAATATTTTATAGTTAAAAATATGGAAAGCCAACTCACAATAGGATGAATTAATTAAACGATATTATATTTTAATGAATATAATTCATAAACGTATTAGGGCTTCTATATAGCGGAGAAGGCCATGTGAATATACATAGGGAGAGAATGCTAAGTTTTTATAACTAGCCCTTGGATTTTTATTTTTTTTCAGAGATTATCAGGAGACTAAAAGAAAGCAACAACATATTACGTCAGCAGACAACTTGTAAAATATGTATGGACAGAGAGGTGGACATTGTCTTCCTGCCTTGTGGTCATCTGGTGTCCTGCACTGAGTGTGCTGTGGCCATGAAGGACTGCCCAGTGTGTCGAGCACATGTTAGAGGAACAGTCCGAGCTTTCATGAGTTGAGCGACACAATGAATGGAATGAATAGAGCAATCAGGAGATGTGTCGAGTGTCTTCCTTTTAGAGTAGAACGTTTCCTTTTGATTTTATATCCAATCAACATGTAGATACGATAACCTTGCCTCTTGTCTTTATCTAAATACATCGCCTATTTTCATTTCTATCAGCTTTCAAGTATGTAGAGTTAATCAATAAGAATAATATTCATTAGGCCGTTAAAAAAAGGACTTTCAAAATATAAAAGTAGTGTCTAAAATTTGATGGAAACGATTTTTTGAAAGTCATTTGTTGTTGTTGTTGGTATTGGTGTTGTTGTTGGTATTGGTGTTGTTGGTGTTGTTTCTTTTGCTTCATTATAAAGAACTCCATAAAATAAAATGTTAAAGTAAACCACTTTATGTAGATTAATGTCACATGCGACCGTTTTTAAACCTATATTTTCGTTGACTATATATTTAATATTTTAACTTTTAATCAGATCTACACAATCTTGAATATAATCTTTAAAGTGCAATCAAAAATGATTGTATTTATTGATGCTACCGAATTGCCTTGGACTACAATGTCATGCATGAGTGCAACTTGAAGGTCAAGGGGAACAATAAATGTTGCACTTTGGTTGTTTGTTCTATTGTAGTTTTACTTCAACTGCTAGTAATAGGTCAAACAATAATTACATCCCTCTTACCTTATCTTGTTATCTTATATAATACAGATGTTAATTCAAAAAAGAAGAGGATTACGTCCTACGCGTCATGCATTTAGTCATGCATATTAACCAATGACTTAAATTCTGCCAAGTCCCTGGTTTTCCTGGCTAGCTCAGGCAACCCATTCCATGCTCTAAATGGCACTAGGGAAGAAGGGGTATTTGTACAAATATTGTTACTGTAATGTAAAAAAAATAAAAATATTATTTTTTTAAATTTATTATTATTATTGATACTATAATGTAAACAGGGTCTACCTTGTCTTTCAAAGTTACGTTGTAGATCTATTTGGTGGTTGAATTTGTTTTACACTTGATAGTCTAATAGCTGCATTTCTCACTTTGAAGATTTGTGTGAATAATTTGAAGAAGTTCAAAATTATCATTTAAGTAATTTAACTTTAATTTCATATTGAAATCATTTATATTTGTTCCCTATTGAAGATGTTTTGTTTTGTATGCTGGTTTTATTTATGTTAAAGAAATACTTAATACATATTATTGTTATATCGTTTTAAGTCTTTGCTAGTATGTTCTGTAGTCGTATTTAGATCTCTAGCAAAAGCTCGATTTTCTACATCTATTTAGACATAGATTAAATAGACTAATTAAAAAAGCATCGTATATCATTTGAACACAGCTACCATCTCTTGAAGAGCTTTTTCACGAAGGATGCCTTACCAAATCACGAAGTGGTCGTCTCCTTTCCATTAGGGCTAAAACATAAAGATTTTTTAAAAACTTCTTTATCCCACTTTTGGTCAGAGTGTTACCAGGTCATATGTCGTCATCGAGAAGTTCCTAGAAGTCTAATTTATAAAACGCTGGTTGTGAGTGTGTATGTGTTTCATGTGTGAATGCTGTTCGTATTTGCATCTAAATTATTATTGTACAGTAGCTACGCTGAGGTGGTCAATTGTAGTCAAACTGAATTTCCATTTAATTGGAGCTGTAAAATTATCTTATCTTATCTAGGTACTGAATCAAATGGTAGGGTTAAACTATTTGCATCTCCAGATATGAGGCCTATAGCACTACCCAGAGACAACACAACAACTGAAAAATAACAACAGAAAACATTTTTAAAATACATTTTAAAAAAACAAACAATACCTCTATTATACAACTTAAAGTAAACTAAAATATTAAATAAAAAATGTAAAAAAATATTTGGTTCTAATCGTTTATCGAACTGGTCAATTGAGCCACATGGACTTCTGACATCACAAAACTATTTATTCATGTATGGACATCAATACCAGTGGCATAGCAAGGTATTCGTTGGCCAAGGTTCAAGAATATCTTCGTGGGCCCCAATCCTCCAAATAAGACAAATGTAGTGTGTGACAAAACAGTTGACTATTCTGAATGTATGGGTACATTCACCAAAAGACATTCCACTACTTTCTGCTTGATGTAGATCTTGCTGCTCACTTTCTAACATTTTAAAGACAACTCTGACAGCCCTTATAATCTCTTATATTATCGAATGTTTCTAATTAAGTGCTGCAGGCTTCCAGACTTTTTTTTTTACTTAGAGGAACACAAAGTAATTTGTGTTAACAGCTTTAGTATATCAAAATATAAGAATCTCATTGCTGTTAGAGCATCATTCCCTGATGACCACCTTGTGGACAAAAGTATTTGAATGTACTATAAGCTATGCCCTTCCTATTGGATTCAAGACGCGCCCATCTTGAGATGCTGTGAGCAAAAAACACAAACCAAGTCATAGAAATCTGCGACGTCTTGAACACAGCTGGCGGAATAATTTAAGCCCAAGTTTAAGTCGTGGTTAGCACAATGAACATAATGCGCAAGTGGCTTCTTTTGATGAAGCAAAACCCTAAGACCATTGTAGGCCCTACTATCCACTTACATTAGACGTACCATCATAGCTTTAGCCTAGCAGTTTATTCAAAGATAAATGGGGATTATTCATTACCTGGAGCATTTGTTCCGCCATTCCTGCATCCGCCTGGTTTTCATAAATACGAAATCATAGAAATAACTCTCTAATTGCTAATTTTTTCGGCATTCCGTCATCGGAGATCTCAAAACAGTTTTTAAAACAGTAGGCCCTAATGCTAATTTGATCAACTTTAAATATGTCTTGAGACTAAGACTAAGACTGCTTTATTGATCCTTACGGAAATTTGTTGTGATTACAAGGACTCTTTTCTCATATAAAGACAACACAACAGAAAAAGGGCTCTCACCAATGAAAGAGAATAAAAAGACAAAGAAAGAACGTAGGCCTACTTTCCAAATGAATACAAAAAAAGATTGCAGACGTAGTTTGAGACTTTAAACTCCTCGAATGAACTAGGTATAATAGTTAATACAGTTTTACTAGACTATGTGTAATAGTTAATAGGCCTACAGTTTGACTAGACTGGGTGTAATAGTTAATACAGTTTTACTAGACTAGGTGTAATAGTTAATAGGCCTACAGTTTGACTAGACTGGGTGTAATAGTTAATACAGTTTTACTAGACTAGGTATAATAATTAATACAGTTTTACCAGACTAGGTGTAATAGTTAATACAGTTTTACTAGACTATGTGTAATAGTTAATAGGCCTACAGTTTGACTAAACTAGGTGTAATAGTTAATACAGTTTTACTTACACATAGTTAAACTATGTGTAATAGTTACAAATAGACAAGTTCCGTAAAGTTCTTATTGCAGTAAGTGGTAATGGATATAAGGCATAAGGCACCCCATTACTTATTAAATGCATCCAATGGCATGTGTCTCAAAGAGCCTCTGACAACCAGTCCAACTCCTGGCTCAGATATTTGATCAGGTGCAACTGTTATTACTGACAGGAGAGGAGGCAAAGGCGAGCAACTGGTGCATAGACAGTAAACTTTGGGCACGAGGGGCTTGGTAGGCAAGAAGAAAGAAAAGTCTTATCTTAAGTCAAACCTCTGTTGCCTTGAAGCTACAACCAAACATGTGAAATGCTTCGAGAGTCAACCATGAGGATAAATCAGGAGCTGGTGATCCTTAAAAAAGTTTGCAGCACTCACCCTGGCAGAACTGCAACGTATCTGATCCTAAAAAATTCATCTGCTATAGTCGTTTCAATTGAACACGTTAGCAGCGGGGAGATTGGGGGGGGGGGGGGGAACTGTTGTGTGGAAGACGAAGCTCCGACCATAGCTAACTCCCAGGCTTTCATTTCTATGAGATGAACTGTAGTGCTTACGGCTGAAAGGGGGGGGGGGGCAGCGTGCAATAAGCTAAAGACGTATTTCTACGTGTCACAGCTGATTACAAATGTTGCCACACAAATAGAAATGCTTTGTTGAATTAGGTTACGTCAGTTTATTTCATCTGATGTAATACATATGTGAGCTGGCGTTCCTAGATCTAATTTTTTATCTATTTATATCTGTATTTTAATTTTGTAAACAATCTAGGCTAGTGCTGAGTGCATGCCTGTCAGCTCTTTAACTTTAAAGTTAGTGTAGACGAGTCATGACCTGGCTCTATAAATAGAACGGATGCTGCCATGTCTTGTCCCTTTTCCGGTGTTGACCGCTGGTCAGTGCTTGATTAGCTGGTCTGTGTGACAAAGGAGTGAGTTAGAAAGTTATTTTTAGTGTTGTTCCTGTGTGGACGTTCTCTGTGTGGACTGCCTGTAAGTTGAGAAATTGTTTTATTTTTACTTGATATATTTTAATTAGGATTGATTGTTGTTAGATTGTTTTGATGTAAACGGATTAGTGCCGTGCATCACCGACTTAATTACTAAGCCATTGTCTATGATGGGACTGGAAGGTCCTTTAATCTGGATAGCATCACCCCCCCCCCCCCCCAGGAGCCATCCCTAATGATCTCCTTGTTGCTTTTCTATACAATGTTTTATTACCTTTAGTTTCTAAAAGTATTTCCATTAATATTAGAATGATTATTTCATATATTTTTTATGTTTGTTTATATTTGTAATAATTCCTATAATTCCTGCCTAACTGCCATTATTTCGGCTCTCTAACTGCTATTATTTCGGGTGCCTAACTGTATGCTGTAGTTCTGCTTTACTGCTGCTAGTAGTTTATTGTTTAGTGTTGGGGTAATTTAGGTTATTTGGTGGTCGGTTTAGTTAGTAATAGTTGTAGATTTAGCAACATAGATCCAGAGGCGGCAGAGGGTTTTGGTTAGTGGAGTTAAGTTCAGTTAAGAAGAGTTGATTAATTATTTAGTAGTGTGTATATATAGTTTTTGTTTATTTCTAAGTTTATTTTCATTTTCGTATTCACCTATATTTTTATTGCTTTGTAAGTTGGTTGTAAATAAAGTGTATATAAATTCCTTTTAAAATTTCAGTTTGTTATTTTATCTTTAGTGAGCTAGTCTCGTTTAGTTTAGTTTAATTGTGCTGTCTGGTTGCTTAGGCTACTCTAGCCCCTTGGTCGTAGACCGAGGTGCACAGATTGGGCCCACCCAGTAGAGCTACCACCTGCCTACTGTTATAAATGAATAAATGTTGAGCAGCAGATAACAAAAAGGCCTCACTCAGTAGCGCCACCCTGACCTGCTCACACATACATAAAGACAATAAAGTGATAAAATAAACGAAAGGCACACACAAAAAAAACATTTTAAAAAATATTTTTTTTGTACAACATATAGCGAGATTATTAGACCGAATGTTAGATTTTTAAAAATGCAAAATTAAAATCCCCTTCCCATTTTGTAGAGAGAGAACCCTGGCTAAGTGAATGTGTAGATCTGAAAGACTTTATAAAATATTCCCATGTTAGGACTTTAGATCTAGTCTTACAAGATGATGGCAACATTTTCCAGATTTTTTTTATTCAACTCTTTAAGGAATGCGAAAATACCAGCATAGTCTGCTCCATATCAGTATAGTCTGCTCAATATATTTTTCTCTCCTTCTCAATCTAACCAGATTATTTAGTTATTTTTTATTCATTATAACTCTAACTTTTTCTAGTGTGGCCAACGAGTTAGTTTTTTTTTTCCGAAGGATACACATGCTGTCAAATTTTTATGAAAATCGTTAGAGCCGTGCTCGAGATCCGTGTCCAGGTTCCACCAAGGTTCCAGGTTCCATGAAGTTGAATAGAGGTATTGTAAAAAAAAAAAAGGTTTTATAGTGTCAAACATAGTGTGTTATGCACCTTTTTCATTTTTCTCTAGCTTAATATTTTTTTTTTTACAATACCTGTATTCAACTCATAACTTTATGGAACCTGGAAACTTGATAAACCTGGACACGGATATCGAGCACGGATCTAACGATTTTTTTTTAGAAATATAAGAGTTGATATATATTGCTGAGAAAAGAAGTACTAGCCATTTGACACACTGGGAAAACTCTGGCTTAACCCTTATCATTTTTCTAGTAAAAAAATATTTTTTTTTAATTTAACTTTAAAAAAAAAAGAGTTAAGTTCCACTTTCAGACCTTATGGTCTATATTGCAGATGATGTAAAGGTCATCTGTTCCTGTGGCCCACTGTTAACGAGGGTGTCAGATGGCCAGCACAACGACCAAACGCCTTTACTTTTCCCCAACTAATGTCAGGTACTCATTGGAGCAGGGTGGGTATCCTCTAACACAAATACATAAAGTGTTCGCTGTCATTATAACAGTAAAGACAGCTACAAATATTAATCTAACAACACACGAAAAGTGAATTAGCTGCTTTGACTGGCAGAAAACATGAAAAGTATGCTTCAAGGTTTAAGTCAATCGTGCCTGAAGTTCTCTTCTATCTATGTATTCAGCCTTCATTGCAGTCAGATAATGAGAAATAAAAATACAAAATTACACATATTATAGACAAGTTTACAAGTCATGTTAAAAGAATGGGTCTGGAACTGTACATTTTCATTTTCTCAAAGCTGTCTTCAATGATGTGTGAACGGTTGTTGACTTGTAGCTACAATCTGCTGGTACACAACTAAACCGCTTTGCAGGCTAAATGTGAATCTTTACTAGTAAAACTTGAAATACTTTGAATAGGTTCTTTATAAACAAGGCTAAATATAATTATAATACAGACTCAATATAGACAAAATCAACTTGAGATCAAATGATATCAAAGTAGTAGACTTATAAAATGGTGTTTTTTTTAAAATGTAGCTTACTACAATAACACTTCTTTTCACTCTCGCTATCATTCACACTACTTAGATAGCCTCTTCTCAGCGTCACCATAGAAACACACAGGGTAGAAATAGTGTGACACTTCGATTTATACCTTGTAGGGCGGTGCATAGTACTTGATACCCGTAGGTCGATGCAGATTTAGCAGCGTTAGTTTAGGCGTGGGCTAGGGGCCCAGTCTATAAAGAGTAGAGTCTTGAGACAGACACAGCGCCATCTAGTGTTAGCAGGGGGCGTGTGTCGTGTGCTAGACGTTTTTTTTTTTTGTGAATGACACAGACCGAAAGGATGCATGGTGGCAACTTAATCGTGCGGAGCAGGCGTCCTAGCCTAGTTCCGTGTCGGTCACTCGGGCCGTCCTAGCACAGTTTCGTGTCGGTCACTCGGGCCGTCCTAGCACAGTTCCGTGTCGGTCACTCGGGCCGTCCTAGCACAGTTCCGTGTCGGTCACTGTCCAATTGGTGTTTACTTCGGATGTTTTCTAGAACATTACGACACACGGTGTCGCCTTTGCATGGGGGACATAGAAACAGTAGACCCCATTCTCTCTGAGTGTCACGTTTTTGCGAGAAGGGCGATTGGGACAAGGTGATGATAGAGAGACAGAGAACCGGTCCATGTGCTGCGATGGGTTTGTCCATGTACGGAGACAAGGCGACTTTAAAACTCTCTGCTCGCCGAGTTCTAAGGGCGTAATCTCAGAACGTTTGTTTACAGGCATTGAGAGCAAGTCGCTGAGACCTGCTCGCGATCTTGCCTCCAGGAGGTATGATTTGTTTGACGGGACAATCAGCAACATGTAGGTAGTTTTTTTCTAAGGGACCAGGGTAAGAACATATTTTTTTATTAGTTATAACATTGGTTGATTTTGAATAAATAGAATTTCGCTATAGCTAGTTGCTAAGATGTCTAGGTTATTTGTTTAGAGTGACAGTCCGAGTCTGTGAGGTCTAATTGTGTGCAGTCTGAGTCTATAATGATCAGTTTGTAGAGTGACATCTGTCGTGCGCGCTTGAACTTTTCTTTGCATTTAACATTGGTGTTTTAGCGTATAGGAAGTAGTTTCTTTTAACTGCGTTTTGTTGTCTAGAATATTGTGTGTGATAGTTTCCTCAAGAGAGAGAGAGCTGCTTTTGTGAGCTGGTAGCTGGTTTTCTGGTTCCCCTTGTAAGGGTACGTAAGTACATAGTTTTATTAAGTAAGCTGATCTTTCGGTACGGGTGTCGCTATTGAAAAGTTATTCTTGTAGGGGCATCGCTAGATCTAGGTTTTCTTTTCGTTTCAGGGTGTTAGGCTTAGGGCTATGGGAAAGTGTGTCGTCTTTCTGCCCTTGGAGTTGTGTAGTAATTATCGGTGTTGAGGTGTAGGGAGTTGAGGTTCTGTTGGGCGCCGAGATGGAGTGTGAGCGTGAAGGTGTGTTACGGAAATTTGTTGGTGTGATACTAGACTAACTATTAATCAAATGCTAACTTCAATGATATTGATGTACATGTAAATATGTTTGAAAATTACAATTAAGTATAATTAAATATTGTTCCTGTTGACAACTGTTGTTATTCACTAAATGTTCACTTGACTAACTGTTATTCAATGTTTGTATTTTACAAACTATTACCTTTAGGTTCTTGTGTTACTCTGTTCAGGCTGGGGATACGGCACCGTAATATCATACCCTAGCTAATCTGAAATCCCACCCTGACAACATCCAGTAGAGTTAGCCAGAGTCCATAAGTCGGACGAGAATCCGAAAAGACTTTTGCTTTGTTACAAAAAACTAAGAAAGTACTTGTAGATACTTGAGCACCAGTTCTATTTAGCCAATAAAAGCGCGGACAGTTCCTTTCACAATTTTCCTGCAGACTGGACAATCTTTCAAAGCCCCCGCACATTCGGCGCATGAGACAAGATGACCACAGGGCAGAAACACTACCTCAACATCTTTGTCCATACAGATTTTGCATATCGTCTGCTGCCGTAGATTGTTGTTCTTTTCTTTTATTTCTCTGATAGTTTCTATTAAAAAAAAATGAAGATTCTGTAACTTCCGAATTATTAAGTATATGATAAGAATAATAAAACCAGTAGCGTAGCAACGAGTGATTAAATGGAAACTATTTCCCCTCAGCCCAAGACAATTAGAGCCCATAGGGGCTTTTGAAAAAAACAAAAACAAAAAAATTGACTATCAATGGAAAATATATCAAATTTATGTCACATTATTATTATAGCTTTTATATTTACTCTCATGCTTAGAGCATGCTCAGAGCGCTTTTGGTCCAATCTCATTTGTGGACCAGTGGGGGGGGGGGGGGGGAAAGGGTATCTAGGAGTTGGTTTTCCGTGCTGCCTTTCATCCATTGTAGATAATTGAAATGTATCTGCTATTCTATCAAATGTTGTAATAACACAAATTTGATCTATCAACACATCAACTGTTGTTGTAGGTAGCAGAAATGAATCTGATAATATCTCAACTGTTGTAGAATCAAAATTTGTTATCACACCAACTTTTGTAATAGATAACACAATCAAAATTTGTTATCATATCAACTATTGTTGTAGAATCAAAATGTATTATCACATGTACTATTGTTTTAGATAACAGAAACTTGATCTATTATCACATCAACTGTTGTTTTAATTAACAGAAACTTAATTTGTTATCACATCAACTATTGTTGTAGATAACAGAATCAAACTTTGTTATCACATCAACTATTGTTGTAGATAACAGAATCAAACTTTGTTATCACATCAACTATTGTTGTAGATAACAGAATCAAACTTTGTTATCACATCAACTATTGTTGTAGATAACAGTAACTACATATAATATTATGTCTACATTGTAGATATTAGGACCTCGATCTTTTATGATAATTACAGTTTTTGTAGATAAAAGACTTGATCCGTTATATCAACCTCTGTAGGTAACAGAAATCTGATATGTTATTATATCAGTTGTTACATCATCAACTTATAATTGTAGATTACTTAATGTGTGATTAGACTGAGACAGTTCTTAAACACATTTCTTGTATTTAATTGCTTTACCTTTTTAAATATGATATACCAATCCCAATTTATTTGTAATTCAGAGTTCTTTATGGTAAAAAGACTTCTTTTATTATTATTATCATCATCATCATCATATTATTATTATTATTATTAAATTGGCATCTACTATATACTTCACAAATAGTTAGATCAACTTGGCCTGTTATCATCTCATAGACCCATTAATATTTCCGGCTTACATTAGCTTGTTTTTTGTTAAGTAAGATCAATATTAACCGATGGAAAAAAATTTACATCTAAAAATGTTGTGATTTTCTTACCATCATCTTGAACTTGTGTTGATGTGCCCGTGTTCCTAGCATGCATTTTGTTGATGTACTGGGTGTCTTTCTCGCGCTCTTTACATTTCTTAAGCAACAGATCAGCTGATATCGGGATATCTAAATTAATTAAACAAACACATTTAGTTTGATACAATCACAGTGAAATACAAATATTACGGGCAATAGGAAAATTGTATCAAAGTTGTTTATTTTATGAATGCTTTTACTGGGCCCGCCACTGACAGCAAGAAGATGAAGAATTTACGCTGGGTTTTTTCAGGGACTTATAATAGGACACAAAGACAGAAAATACAAAGAAGTTTATAAACTGGCTGTCTGTCTGGTCAGGTGGAATGCGATTACTTGAGTCAGATGCCCATTATAGTTGATTGGACTTAGGGGCGTCCTTAAAATCCCGAAATTAAAAATTCCAGTCTTCACCAAGAATCGAACCCAAGACCTTTCGGATCGGAAGCCAAGCACCTTACAAGTCAGCCACCATGTCAATTAGCTTGTTATTTATTTTCCTAAAGAGATACATAAACTGTCGACTTTCTAGGAAAACCAAAACAGCCGTTTCAGAAATACCCAGTTTCCAGCCAGATTAAGTCCATAAAGAGTTTGCAAATCTAAGAGAAGGAACTGTTAAAAACGAAACGAAGTACCTTGGGTTTTTAACTGACTTGCAATCTCCAGGACTGTATTCTCAGGAAATCCAAACTCTAGCATCGCTTTGACTGCTGGATCACGTTTCAGTGGCATGTTTCTGTTGTCTGTCGAGCAAAGTTTAAACAGGCATTAGAAAACTTGGATTAAGTGTTTTCAATATAAGTACATAGTCAAAGTCATGCATTATTCTTATTACAATGCCTGTACATACCAAGCTGGAAGGCTGAAGCTGATGCTCCTAAATGTTCTACTACCATCGTGAAAGAGATCTGAAGATAATAAACCTTTATGCTGATTATGTTAACCTATTGTTAAACAGTCATCTAACTATATTTAAAAGTTCTTATCAATGAAATAAGGACTCACAAGAAGGATATAGTACTTAGACTTACAAAAGACGTAGAATTTAATAAGATTTATATGAAATGCAATAATCACCTTGTCCTTGGTTTTGTTAAGCTCTTGCACTGTGTCAACGAAATTTTGTCCCATGAGTTGTCTGATGAAAGCACACTTAGGGAACCACCTGGCATGTTCTACCCAGACGTCATCTTCATCTTCCCAGTTTCTTAATCCACCACCACAGAAGAAACACCTGGCACAGTCTCCGTAACCTGGAAATAGAGAATTGTTCATAACACCTGGTACAGTCTCCCTAACCTGGAAATAGAGAATTGTACATAACACATGGCACAGTCTCCGTAACCTGGGAATAGAGAATTGTATGACCCTACCCTAACCCTAACCCTAACACCTGGTACAGTCTCCCTAATCTGGGAATAGAGAATTGTACATAACACCTGGTACAGTCTCCCTAATCTGGGAATAGAGAATTGTACATAACACCTGGTACAGTCTCCCTGACCTGGGAATAGAGAATTGTACATAACACCCGGTACAGTTTCCCGAACCTGGAAATAGAGAATAGTACATAACACCTGGTACAGTCTCCGTAACCTGGAAATAAAGAATTGTACATAACACCTGGCACAAGTCTCCGTAAGTTGGAAATAAAGAAGTGTACATAACACCTGGCACAGTCTCCGTAAGTTGGAAAAAGAGAATTGTACATAATACTTGGCACAGTCTCCATAACCTGGAAATAGAGAATTGTACATAACACCTGGCAGAGTCTCCGTAATTTGGAAATAGAGAAGCGTACATAACACCTGGCACAGTCTTCGTAAGTTGGAAAAAAAGAATTGTTCATAACACCTGGTACAGTCTCCCTAATCTGGGAATAGAGATTTGTACATAACACCTGGTACAGTCTCCCTAACCTGGAAATAGAGAATTGTACATAACACATGGCACAGTCTCCGTAACCTGGGAATAGAGAATTGTAT